CCCATCGCTAGGCGAGCAATCTCTGATTAGCATTTCTGGCTCAGATCTAGATCCATTGGGAGATTGAACTCGGTGTAGGCATCATAGGCAAAGAGAACATCAGTAGCATTGTTGTTGTAAAATATGTCGAACCATGTCTTGAAACCTTCAACGGATGGCTTGACACCATGGTAAACTGAAGCTGCTTCCCTATAAGACTTGCACGACCGGGATTCTGATTGATCTTCATTAGAGTCATATTTGGGGAAGGCCGATTCAAGCAGGGAAGGTCTGTTGGCCACGGTGTTGGTGTGAATTGTCAACCACAGCTGAATGAACCACCAAGGGCCCCCATAACTGACCGGTTTATTTAGAAGTATACCGGCTGAGGAAACATGTAACATCTGATAAGTTGCCCCTAGGAGGTATCGGCCAAGAGGAATTTTTTCCTTTCTCACCAGGGCTTCAGCGAAGTGAAGGAAGTTCGCAGTCGGTGCACAAGTAGACCCATAGAAAACAAACCTCTCAAGCCATAGGGAAAGAAAGGCAGCATGTTCCTCATCCGAAACTAGACCAGTCTTCCGATGGTCGACGATGAAGCCTGACCAACAATTGTTCTTCTTCTTTGTGTTCAGTTGATAAGAGCATTTAATGTCCAAGTCAAAAGGATTAGTGGACGAAAGGATGTCCAGGCCTGTTAGCATCTTCACATCAAGCAAAGTGGGAGTCATAGGTCCCTGCCTCAAGATAAAAGCATTCAATGTATCAGACCAAAAGCAGCCGACAGCGGAAAGTAGGGGCTCATCCTTTTTTATGTCTGCTATAGATAAAGCCAGGCATTGCGCTATTCCTACTTTCTCCCAATTAGATCGCTTAGCAGCCACCATCCTCTTGTACCATGACTTGTACCCTTTCAACTTGGACGGCCAAGACCTAAAGGTCGATTTCCATTGAGCTAAGTCTGGTTTGGTCTGCTTGAAGGGGATCCTCTCCGTTTCAGCGTTGATAAACTCGGTGGGATCCGGATCACCCATCGGCCCAAGGAAAAAGTATGTGGAATTCCAGAAGGTGGGAATCAAAAGATGATCCCTGGAATGCTGGCAGAAGGAAAGAAGGAATCGGATCACCGAAGATCCAAAGAAGATTGAGGGAATTGCTCAAAGTAACATGGAGCTTGCCTCGGGGATCTCCGCCACGTATGCCATCGCCATAGGTCCGAACAAAGTTGGCGGGGTGGAGGAATTCGCCGATTGAGGAACGATCACCAAGAGATTAGGGATTGCTACAGTGGGGGCTTCACGGGGAATAATGACCGAAAGCGGTAAAAAAGGGAAGCAGGGCGGCGTAAGTAGGATCCCAAGACGGTGATCACTATTTAAAAGGGCGCGGTAACGGCCGAAACGGAAAAGAAACCCTAGATGCGAATGGAAACAGAATCGAGCAAATCCGCAACATCGCAAATATCACAGACTTGGGAGGCATGTGTTAACGACCAAAATTGGTAAATCATAATTGGATCCGAAGTCAGAACCAAAGCGGATTTGGAGGAACTCCATAATCACGGAAACAGAACCCGCATCGGCTACGAGTTGCATCAGCTACCGTCTGCATTGGCTGATACCAAACCAGATAGGGAGAAGCCGATACAGCCGATCCCGGCAAGGCAATCATGAGACCATTATCGAGATCGGTTCAAGTGCTACACAAGTATTGGCAAGTGTGGATTGAGTCTGGAGAAGGTAATTGTATCTATTAATTAGGATATTTTGATAGTTTCCTTATAGATATTTTCGGTAAGAGTCCGCCTAAGGGACTTGTTCGTATTTTTGAGTTGTAATAGAGATAGAGTTGTGTCCAGCAAGGACATATCATGTTTTTTGTGTATAAATATGACCCGAGACCATGTAAACAAACAACATCAAGTTCAATACACTCTCGGTGCATCGCCGCCCTTTTTACTTTTCTTTGTTTTCGACGAGTTCTTGCTTTCGAGTTGGGCTGCATCGATTTCAATCTCTGACAAAGAGGTAAAGCTTGTTATAGCGGCTTGAGTTCTAGGGGCTAGTGCTTACATCTTTATAACACTCTAGTCCCGCCTATGTAAACCGCCGAGTTATCATATATGCTATATAATCTAGTTCGATCTAGCTATATAATCTCATCGGCTAGCCTCTATCATCGAAAACAGCCGATAAGGTTAAATAGCTGCGACGAACTAGATTATATAGTATATCTACCATCTCGAAAAGGCTTTCATAAACTTGTTTAGATCTTATGTTTCTCTATGTACTTGATGTTGCATCGGTTATGTTTGATCTGTTAAGTAACATTCAGAACCATAATATCTAGCTTGTCTTATGGTTATCGATAGAGATAGCATCGGGGTTTCAGCCGATCTTACCTGATTTAGTTATCTCGTTCCTCATATGCTTACTTGATATGCTAAATCTGCCATTTACATTAAGATCTCATTTGGGCCAAATATATTAAGCCTGCTATCAGTCTGTTAGGTTACCCTGACACTGGATTGATCTCTGTTTAGCGTATTTGATCTATATCGAAAACTTAGTATAAAGTGGTATCAGAGTACTAGCTGGTACACGTTGGGTTTGCATGTCGGCTATGCTGTGAGTATATATAATCCCTGCCTTAAAGCGTTCTTGGATTCAAGTAGTTTATACTGTCTCGGTGCGCTGACCGATCTATCCTAATCACTTGGTTTAAGAGTATTTCAAAGCATAGATTATATATTACTGATATCTATAGCCGACAGAGCACATTCAATTATCCCTTCGCCATACACTACTTGGCCGATCTGATCTATATTGCATCGGCCCGGTATAAACGATACGTCATCGACAAACCAGCCGATCGGCTATCGTTTATAGATTTAACTTTGGTTCTTTGTTTCTTGTTGGTTGCAGGATCAAACCAACTGACACGTCCTAGACTCGAAAGCGATCTCTTTAGATCTGCACTAGAGTAAAGCAAATCTCTCAGGCCAGCACGTGTTTTCCACGTCGACAAGGGGGTGGGTAGGGAAAAGGGCAGGAAGACCCCTACGTTGTCACCCAGCAGCCGCCCGCCTCCATTTGCGCGCCCCGCCCTGCAGCTGGGGATGCTGCTGCCGTCTGCCACCAACGCGGCGCCAGCTCGACCCGGACGACGAGGTGGGGGAACGGGTGGGAGCGGAGAGGGAGAGAAGGAAGCCCCGCCACCGCTCTCCTCCATCTCTGCCGAGCCGCGCCGTCAGCTGGGGTCACTGGCTCGCCGCCGCCCGCCTCCAACGTCGCGCTGCCCAGCCCCGCATAGGACAACGAGGCCAGGGGAACAGGAGAGAGGGGGAGAGAGATGGAGGAGAGCTCCGCTGCCGCCGTCCCTGCGGCTGCCAAGGGTGCGCCGCTCGTGCGGTGGCGTGGCGGAGAAGAAGTTAGCGGCGGTGGTAGGGATTGGCAGCTAAATAGACAGGCCGGCTACTCTAGTATCACAGTCTCACATAAGCCCTGTGGGTGATTTGTTGAACCAGGTTTAACTTCACCAGCATGGATATAGCGTGAATTTTCAGCTTGTTGTTTCGAGGTGAAGTGCACTACGATCTTGAAATGCCTGATCAAATATGTCTATGCAGCTAATTCATCTACCTGTGATGTTTAACTTTCATTTGCTCAGAATGTCTCGTAATACAATGCCAACAAATGTAGGTCTTTCAGGAAAAGAAATGAAACAATGTCTCGTAACAATGCCACAACAAATGTGGGTTTCAGAAAAACTAAACAGATTGTCTCCAATATGCACCCAGTTGGAAAGAAATAAAGAATAGCAAAGCATTCAGACAATTTGCGTCAACAAGAGACCCTTTTCTGATCTTTCAAAGGCCTGTTTTCGTCATGGGCTATAGAATACTGTCTTAAGTAATCCCCAGTAGCCATGGTTCACTCCCATAGTACATAGTATTTCTGCTACATTCTATAGATTCAGAGTATCGTGCAAGACTCCACACTTCATTACCATATGCTTCAACTGGTGGAAGCAAAATTCCATGCACATTGGATACTCTTTCTTCAAGCTTAATTGTTTGTAACAATTGTGTATCCCCTATTTTCACGCAGCAACACACAGGGCATCAACTAGATGTACGTGGACCACTGAGGCCAAACGACAGCGCACGACCACTGAGGCCAAACGACAGCGCACCGCACTATCAAATATCAATGGCCTAATAAACCACGTTTCATCTATCATCCATCATCCATCCACACATTCAAATAGGCCATGGTGACTAATTTCAAAGTTTAGTGTTTGAGTTTTGAAATTTCCTCCCACAACCTTCTGGGCTTCTTGCCATTTTGTATCTGAAAGGTGTGCCATTTATTTAGCATTTTCCTTCTAAATATTCACATTATATTTATTTATAGAGTATTTTTTTTAAAAAACAAATCACATGTATTATGACTTGTGGTACATAACCACATATTGAAACATTGTTTTTTAAAGTAGTGAAGAGTTAAACTTACAAGCTTAATCAATAAACCAATAATTATATATTTCATATAGACTATTTTAAAATTGTAATTTTAAGTAGATGTGTGCACGGCTTATATATGAGTGGGGTTTTGTGAAACTTTAGATCTATAATACCTAAGGTTATTTGTCACAAGTCATAATACCTAAAGTTATATGCACTTTAATCAAAAAGCATAGAGTTTATTGAAACGTGAAGATCTGAAGACCATCCTTGATTCAGGTTTAATAGAGTGACCATCCTTGATGTTTGGAGATGGTGCTGTACTGTTGCACGTTGTCTCTAAAGGTTTATGAACATGAAACATGACCAAATAACCCCGTACAACACTTAACTGCTATGAATTTTCCATAAAAGACAAATGTTCCATTGGTGTTTAATTTAAGGATCTCATTGTTCATGTGTATCACCTTTGATCCTAGAGGACCCAGTAGCAAGTTGCAACATATTTTAAATTTTTAATCAAGGGATTTACAGCCAACCTGCGCACTCCATTATATATCTGTAGGAGATACATAAATCCTAAATATAATCAGACGAAAATGTAATTGTATATCAAAGCAATCAACAAAAGGAACAAGCAAACTATCTAAACAGGTTTACTATCATACATTGTGTACCACCTCATAACTAGAAATTAAGCTCTGAAGCCATACACAAAAACGTAGCTCAAGAAGTAAATAGTGATTTTCACCTACATTATCACAACTGAAATGAAAAATATAAGCACAGATATGTCAGTAAAGGTGGAGGATACCTAACTGCTGGTTTGCTCCCGAAGATCATGAGATAATGACAAGCAGTTACACTTTCACCTTCTTGCTGTTAGCTTTGTCAACCTTCTCATTTTCGACCTTCATCTTCTTGATGGAATCAAAAAGGGATGATGGCTGTTCTTTGCTTGATGAGGATTTCGCGAAGGGGTTAACTGGCCGCTGAGGCTGTACACCATTGCAGCTATCGACGCTCTTGTTTTTAAGGCCAACCTGACCACTGCCTCCCTTTGGGTTCTGATCAACTGTAGTTGCATGTGATGCTCCATCATTATCTTTCTTCGTTTTTACACCCATTTCACTGTTTTTTGGAATTTTAACTAACGGAGTTTGTGCAGGTGAAACCTTTGTACTGATTTCTTTCAAATTGTCTGCTTGTTCTACCTCTGCCTTGTTTGATTCAGTTGGATTGCTTCGTTGGGCGGCAGGATTCAGTTTAGGCAATGTAGGTAACTTCAAGCTGTTTCCATTTTGCACAACCTTAGCTGGTGGGACTGCTTGAGTGCTCAACGCTGGTGATGGTGAGTAGTTTGTATTACTATTGGAGAAAACACCAGATGTATTGGCAATTTTTGCATTGTTTAGCATCATCTCCTACAAGAAGCCATTGCATAACCTTCAGTTGAACATATGATAAATTCTTAAATATTGAATGTGCCATTTTTAGAGTGCTAAAAGTACGCAGGTTCAGTATAAGGGTTGTGAATTTCACCTCGAGTATGGCACTGAACCTTTCTTGCAATATGGGAAGTTTTAAGCGTGTAACAAGCATCAATGCTCCCTTCATTGACTTCTCCAGTGTTAGTAATTTTGCAAGCTCGGTAGCTCGTACAAGCTTATCACCTTTTGAAATCAAGAAATAAAACAAGAAATAATTTAATGCAAAGCACTATTTATGGGTAAAAAGCATAGTTCAAGTCTTGTACCATTGCAGCAGCTGGAGATGAGCCTCAAGATGCACCGGTCAAGTGCAGCCTCCATGTTGAATGCTTCATCATCTAATGCAATCGTGTCCAGACCCAAAGCAGCCATTTCTTCTATTTTCTTTTGAATCTGAGATAAACAGCAACGATTAAAAACAATATCACAGATACTGCCCTTCAAAACTGAAAGAAACACAGTGCACCTGTGAGAGATGCAGTTTCCTCATCATGAATTCAGTTTCCAAACTATTGGCACCAAGGTCAGATGATGCAAGAGGAAATGACAGCTCAAGTATTGTCAAAACAGGTTTGGGCATCACCTGATAAGATCAGTCAAAGACGTCAAACGACAAACAAATTTCAATATTTGAGAATTGCATATAGAAGTACTATTTTTGTTGGAACATCAACACTCAAAAGTTGTACACATGAGAAGTTGCATTTAGGCATACCTGTGGATAGGACTCCGGGGACTTGCATAGAATGCAGAATATATTATTAGCATCTAAGCCCACCACCCAGTGGCTTTCATCTTCGGATTTTCTTGCCTTGATTGAACTGCAGTTGGATATAATTATTAAGTGTGCTTTGGTAGTAGTAAAATGCATAACCTGTCAGGCAGATACTATACCTAAATATTGGAATCCAGCTTCCACCGAATTGACCAGAAAAGACCCTCAGTATTCCCTAGAAATAACAATATTCAGTTTAAAACTCCCATGATATAACTAAAGATATGTTGAATTGTTGACAGTGTTCATTGGTCATACCTTGGAATCAAAGGAACTAAGTTCACCATTCTCACTGAAACCAAACCAAGATAATTTAGAGGCAGGAGTTAAAACAAGTCGGCTGGACAATGATTGAGCACATTCAGATATCTTCAGTACTTTAACATCCAGCACCTGAAAGGGTTAATCATGAACAAATCCATGTTTCAATTCAGAATCTTGTAGTACCATTTCAACCATCAGTTCATATGTACTGTGAATTGGTTCACACGATTGGAATCATGGTACACTAGGAGGTGCTGACAATCTGATAAGTGATAGCTAGCTACAACATATATCATCACTACACAAAGCTCCAAAAGTCAAACGAACATATACTGAATACCTGGTCTCCTGATGAAAGACAATCTGAAGCATGAGACACAATCGCTAGCTGATCTCCATGGCCTGCCGCAGTAACCACTGGGCCACCGACTGAGAGGATATGCATCTGAAAATCAAGAGATGTGTTTGACAAAACTTAAAGAGTTTTTAATTGGGCCACGGACCGAGGATATGCATCTGAAAATCAAGACATGCTAGGTAAAAGTACAATATAAAATGAGTAAATTAAATTGAATTTTTCCCACTTCAAGTAACAAACAGGGAATGATGTAAATCAGATTCATGAATGCTTATGTAACCCCCAGCTCGCATGTATCAAGAAAAACCATCCAAGATTAGTAATATGTAGTTTGGCTTTGCTATGTAAGTCACGACCAATGTCATGAACAGCATTTTTAATGATCTAAAAATGTAAATGTGTTCCGTAGACCACTTCTTGGTGAGAAATGGTGATAAAAGTTACTAGTATCTACATGGAAAGTGCATTCCCTGAATTATTTTCTTGAGTGCAAAAAGTCAAAGTTATAATTCGTGCCCCACAAGTTATAATTCATGAGTGGTTACATAGTACAACAATTTCTGTGCTTCTGATGGTTAGGGCGGGACAATTTCGGCTGTACATTGGATGTAGAAATAAAAAATGGTTTCAGCATTTAAATGTTGGTAGTATAGAATGTTTCCTTGACCAATAAATTTAATTGGAAACATGTCGAGAGTCGCATGAATCTAATTTTCTTCTATAACATTAATTGTTTTTAAAATACTATAAATTCTTTTGTTAATACTTCACAGCTATTTTGGCCTTATGAAAGCTCTAGTAGATAGCACTGAAAAAAACTAAAGCAACCTGGTTTTTTGGGTATTACGGAACTAATAAGGAGGCAGTTTTCTTTCAGGAAAAAAATGAACTTCACAAACTGATTACCAGGCACAACCTGGTTTTTTGGGTATTTCGGAACTAATAAGGAGTCAGCTTTCTTTCAGGAAAAAAATGAACTTCACAAACTGACTAACAAGTATATTCATCAGGAAAAAAGGACTTAAATACAAAGCTTGAGGAAGTTACAAAACCTGCAACCCTCCCTCTGTGAAAATGCGCAGAAAATTTAAAGTTGTAACTGCAGCGACCCATCCAACACCAACAGCCACAGCCTTCACTTCTTCTCCCTCAAACCTCATTGACCACTAAGTAATTTTCAAATTAGTCCAGTAAGCACCAAAGTGGTAAACTTCAACCCTATCTCAGAAGCTGGCAAACAACAATTTCATTTAGTTAACTTACCTCACTGTTGCCTGCCCAACTACTGAAAGGGCGGTACATAAGAGTGCTCATATTCTTGTCACCCTTGCATGGATTTGCAAAGACACTTCCTGATTCATTCAGTGCAGCCATTGTGAAACCAAAATAATCAGTCATCGAAGGAACTCTAGGACCTCTTCCGGTGTCATGGAAGTCTACCTGAAAAACAAAGTAACTTCGGATGGTTTATTCACATCCAAGCTGCAAACAAGTAGAGGATACAATGGCTTATAAGATAGAGGGTGAGAAGATTTTACCTCTACATGTGAATGCCCCTCATTTTCGATAGTAGTGATACTTCCAAGCATATTGTAGGCAAGGAAATTTCGCTTGCCAGGTTGAGGTGGTGTGGACCCAGGCTGAAATGCAGTTTGCATTCTTGCTGTAACCAGTCTTACTGAAGTTGCTGAATCACCTATTGCCTTATCAGCAACCTCCTTGTTATCTCTATGTGTATCTTTCATTCTCTTGCGTGACTCCATCTGAAGTATCAGATCCTCATCTTCACTATCTCCATTTGAGTGATCATGATAGGTTGACTTCCTCCTCAATCTCTTGTGGTTGAATGGACCTAATTCACCAAGACTTTCATCATCATCATCATCATCCAGTCCACCAGAGGTACTCGGCCTCTCCTCATCATCCTCGTCATCAAACAAAGGAACCTTAGTAGAGTTCAGGTCAGGTGCACCCTCTGTGGGCGATTTCAAAGTCGACGGGATGACCGATTCCCAAATGCCAAATCTGCCAGTTACGTCGATCACTGCTACAGCATTACTTTCAGGTTTCCAAGCCAAGCTACATATCCTTTCATCGAACTTCTGCCTCTCAACATCCTGCTTTGACTTCACATCCCAGATCAGAACCTGCTTATCCAATCCAGCAGTGACTAGGTACCTCCCATTTGGAGACCAGCAGAGACTACACACTGGTTGCTCATGCTCCCCTTTCAGAGTGAACACCTCCTCACCGGTGTCCCTATCATACATGACCACATTATTCCTCAATCCCGGAACAGCAAGGAACTGCCCATCAGGGCTCCAGCACAGGGCATTGTTGATTGAGTGGTCTGAACCAAATGTCGGCGCAATCCGCTTCAGACTACGGGCTTCAGTCCCCGTGCAGAGATCCCAGAAGATGACTGTGCCGAAGGTGTCAATTGATGCCAAATAATCGTTTCTGGGATCGAAAGACAACCCGGTTACCGATCCCTTGTGGCCCTTGAGCACTTTGGAGATGGTGTTGTCGATGGTGGCAATCAACTTGATGCCGTCGTCGTCTCCGGCCGCCGCCAGCAGAGTCCCCTTCTTGTTGAAGGCCAGTGACCGGATCGGCAGGGTGAACCGGGCGATATTGCTCTGGAACACCCCCTCTGGAAGGAAATCCGAAGCAAAATTTCACAAATATAGCCGTGGAAATGACGGAGATTAGGAGAAATTGCATCCGGGGCAGTCAGATCTAAGAACCTGGGAAAGAACAGAACTTGACGGAGTGATCGATGGAGCCGGACGCCAGCGACGCGCCGGAGCCCGGCGCGACGGCGAGCGCCGTGACGCCATCCTTGTGAAGCCGGATCGTGGAAAGCGCCGCCGCAGCCGCGGAGCCCGAGCTCCGGCCACCGGCGGCGGCGACCGCAGCGGCGTCATGGATGAGGATGGCCACGTCGGCGGCGGATGCGGTGACGACATGCTGCCCGCCTTGGCCCCACGCAACGGAGCAGAAGACTGGCGAGCCGGCCTTGTGCGCCTCTCGGAGCTTCACCGCGCGCCCTTTCATGGTGACACCGACGACGACGACGAGAGATTCTTCACCCACGAGGCTGAAGCTATGGTGGCGGCGGGTGTTCAGGAATTTGTTAGGGGTTTCCAGAGATTGACGATACGCGGGGTGGGGTTTTGGTTGCAGACATTTTGGTGGGTTTTGGCGCGTCCCCCCGCGCGGGAAAGGACGTTTGGCGGGAAGCTTTTGGTGGAGTACCGCGGGAAAAATACACCGAATTTCACGGCCGCAGTGGCGGAGGTAAGGTAGGGATATTTTCAAAAATAAACTCAAAAGGAATATATGTTTAACTATCGCATTTCTTAGCTGAAATATCATTGCTAACCATCACAATAAAAAAAATTGTGCTTTTTAGTCAAAGTCCAGCACGTTATATACTTTTGGATTTTTTTTTCCTTGTCCCAGCATTGCTCTTGCGCGGGCGGCTGGCGGCAAAACACCGCCACCTTCCTCACTCTTTCTTGCTGCATCGCCACCGTCGGAAACCGAGCGGCCAACCAAGAAGGCGGTGGCAGGCAAAACAAGTTAATGACGCTTCTTCTCGGCACGGGAGGTGGAGTGGCATGCACCGGTGGGTAGAGTACTCGGCGCGGCCAATTTGGCCACGCCGGATGCGCATCTAGCCCTCCTGCAGCAAGATTGGGAGCGGGCAACTCCGGCGGTGCCGAATCCCTCAACAGCAATGGCGCTCGCGGTGACGGCGGCCCGGTGGAGGAGCGGGGCGGCACAGGGCGACATGACGAAGCACGGTCATGGTCGATGGCGGAGGACGAGGACAATGCAAGTGACGGTCGGACGACGAGGCCGGCGCGTTTGGCAGCGGTGGAGGCAAGGAGGTCGTCACCGAAGAGGCTGACGTGGCGTGGAGGAGGCTCCGTTGCCGAAAGGCTGGAGCGGGCGTTGGCGATGACAGGGAGGCTATTGCAGTGAATCCGGCGGCGGCTGAGGCCAACCGAGAAGGCGTGCAGAGAGCACAACACGGAGGCTCGTAGCTGGCGAGCGCGGCGCAGAGGCTACCGCTGTGGGAGGATGGAGGCAACGGCAATGCGACCAAGCTGGTCGTTGGACACGAATAGTCTAGTCGAGGCGGCGATGACGGTAGCGCCATGAGGTGGGTGTTGAAGGCTACAACGATCTCTTTTCTAAGCGTTAGTCGAGGCGGCGATGACGGTAGCACCATGAGGTGGGTGTTGAAGGCTACAACGATCTCTTTTCTAAGCGTTAGTCTTGTTGTGGTGGCGGCTTGCCGCGGCAAGATGGCCATGTTGGACGGGCCAGTGCGGAAAGAAGGGATTCATTCCTCTCTCTCACCCTTTCCCTCTCCAACCCACCCACGTGGATGGATCTAGAGCATGTCACGCCTTGAAATTTAGCTCAAATTTTCAGACTATTTTATATATAAATCCTTGTCGAGGAACCAAGCCAGGATACACAAAACAACAAATTAATTTATAGATCCAAACGTAAATACTTATATAAGAGACAAAAATTTACACTCCACAGACAAAAAATCAACTGGGGTATAAGCCTTGGGCCTCTAACTTCGTATTCAGCTCGGAAAGCACAAACTTCTGAAAAGGGGGAATAATACAAAGGCTGAGTACAACCACCGTACTCGGAAACCACACCAACGATACAGACATGTAAGAGAATACAAGGGAGGTTTATGGCTATTTGCAAAAAGGCAGTTGTAAACATTTGAAGTTAAAAAAAGCAAAATTGTTGATTGATTAAGGCAATATTAAATCTCCGCTGAACAATTCTACACCACGTTGAACAGACCCAACCAAACCACCTGAACTACACCAATTTATTAAATCAAATTAATAGAGTGGGGCTAATCACGGTGAAACTAGTTAATCGCCCATCATCACGGGCATGACTATTCGAATAGTTTTACTTTAGCTAGAGATGCACAACTGTACCCACAAGACACAATCTACCGGCATATCACCGTGCCCGACCAGACACGTCACCATGTTGAGTGATTGTGACAAGACCCTTCGCATAACTCCCACTGACCAATTGCATCATACTGTAAGTTTCGCCCCTATCTTTAAAACCAAGGTAGGCAACCCCTTTTGTGCCTAGGTGAATCCGGAAGCCATAAAGGCCGTCGCAGGGCCCATCCAAACTCCATCACGCTCACTCTTGCCTCAGTACGTCAGAAAGGGAAAAGTTACACTACAAGTCCAGCAGTTGCCCATTCTTGCTTGTGGTAAGCACTGTAAGTCTTCTAGGGTTTCACGCGAACCGATCCTTAATTACCATGGATACAACTAGCAAAACCATACACCTAGGTTTCCCGCGAACCGGTCGTTAATTGCTATGGATACGACTAGCAAAACCATACACACACAGCTCACCATTAAGCCATATTTTAGTTGTATAATTTCGAGCAATAAAACATGGCTAGGTGTCTCGAACTCACAACTCATCAAGATACTAAAGGTAGATAATGTGGTAATTAAGCATGGCTAAGCATATATAATTCTACCTAGGTCAACATAAGTGACAAGCTAGTCAAATTATCATCCAATTTGACAAAGGATGGATATTAAGTAAACATGGCACAAGCGAGCAGATCGGTAGTCCCTAATCCCATGTAATTAGAAAAACATGCAATTTAATTATTTGCAAACGGTAAAACATTGTATAAAGTAGGCTCAAAATGCTCAACTGGGATGTGGGACTTACTTCTTCAAAATATCTTCCGAACTCTTATCCTCGCGATCGCTATCTTCCGAAATGGTGCTACCTAACGGCATAGCACTTCTCATAGCCACTCCCATCCAGCCACACATCATTACCTCTATCGTAGTAATTTTTTATTCAACCACTACACCACCGATCTACCCATCACTCTGTCTATCAATAGTGATTTTTTTACTCTCACCCCTCACCCTTATCCATGGCACCCACCAATATATTTACGGCGAAAATGCTAGGGATCGGGAACCCGATCAGCGCCAGAAAAATCAGGCGCCCGCCACTTCCGGACCTCCATGCCGTCCCCACCACTCGCCCCACCACATGCGTCGTTGTAACAAATTACCCACATATTATGGAAATGCTCTATTAAAGGAATCCGTTTCAATTTTTGTTCCACCAACATTGTTTCAGCAAGTGTACTCGTAATTTTTCACTATTGTCGAGGAGAGATCCTCTCTAGCGGGTGGTCGTGAGACCCCCCCCTTTGTGAGTTCGGCCGGGGGAGATGGTGCGATGATCAAGAGCCTACTTCCACTTGGTGCTTAACTACTAAATCGCTCTTGTGGCTGTGTCAGAGACCATGGATTATACAGGTTTGGGCCGCTATCAAGTGTAATACCCTACTCCTCTGTGTGGGATTATGGTGAATTTTGACAGGAGGTTTTGAGCTCTAAGGGAAACCTAGCTGTTCTTCCTCTGAGCTCAAGTTGTCTGAGAGTCGTCCTCTTTCTCGGTGGGCGAGGTCCTCCTTTTATAGTTCAAGGGGATACCACATGCACCGTTTGCACCTACCCCTCCACAGGTGGGGGGCCCACATGGCCCTGATCAGATCGCTATCCTTTGTTTCAACCGGAAGCAACACGGTCGCCCAACTTCAGGTGGGGCCCAGCGCCGTCCCCCGCCTGACATGGGGGACATCCCCGTCATTCCCCATTAATTGTATGGGGACTTCGGCGGCTCACCACGCGCGGGGGGCGCCCCTGGCAGTGTGCCGATGCGACGGGGCGTACCTGCCCCCATTCCGCTTGACACAGGGCGGAACGTGGGGGCACTGCCACCTGTCCTATCACCTGTGACCGGTCATAGACCAGTCAAGCTCGATTGACATCAATCGAGCAGCGCCGCACGTCCTCCCACGCCGCATTAAATATGGCACGGGATGGTTGGGGCGCCGCGCATTGAAGGCGTGGAGCAGCGTTTCTCGTCCCGCCCGCTCTCCCCGCCACGTAGTGGCCGGGCGAGGGCCTCCGGGTAGCACGCCCCGAAGCCCCGAGGGCTGTGACGTGGCACCCCGAGGCCCCCCGGCCACCTCAGCGCTACCCGAGGGGCGAGGGGAGACGAGGCCACGTGGCCACGCGACTTAGATGAGAATGATACTTCCCTCTATTGTGTGTACTCCCAAGCCCATTTCACCGACAGTAGCCTCCGGCACTGTATCCGAGTGCGACCCCCTTGGGGTGGTCTGGTGTGGTGCCTCATAACTTCCGTCTCATGATAATGGGTTGCACGGGGGGGTTTGAGGAGTCATTGTTGGCGAGCTCGATCCAAGCGTCCACCGTGATGATTATTCGACCGCCGATAAACGCGCCACACGCGAGGCGCGCAAGGCAGGAAAAGTGAGGGGTCCTGTTAGACTGTGCCCGGTGCCATTACTGGCCGTCTCGTCAACCGCCTGACCACCAGGCGCGTGGGAACGCGGGATTATCGGTGGGCCCGCCTGGCCGCAACCGTAATCATCATGCGTCCCGCACCGGCCACGCCGTTGACAGGCGTGCTAAGCGCGGGGCGTGCGATTAGCGGGACGAATGGGACGAGTGGGTGCAAAAAACGAGGAGGCAACCGAAATGGCGAGAAACGAGGAGTCGGGCACTGGTGAGGCGAGGATAAAAAGGGAGGAATGCGGAGAGTTCGTCTCCTTCCTCTCGCCATTTTCATACTCATGCACACACTTGCCAACCCCTAGTGCTCTTCTCTTTCTCCACCGTACTCCGTGCACCCATCCTCTTGCTCGCATCCGCCCAGCTGCCATGGCCCAGGACGCCAGCAACGCCGTTTTCCCCACGGACGGCGCCATCTTTTTTTTATTTTTCTCTTTTTTTCCTTTTTTTTAAAAAAATACTGCAACTGGGGTTCTCCTGTTGTGAGATTCCCTCCCGAGGGGCCTCGACAGCCGAATCCCCCGGGGGTCTAAGTCCGAGTGGCCGGGGCGGCTGGGAGCCGGCCGAACCGGGGCCGTGAATCCTTCACAGCCCCCCAGCGGGGGCCGTGGCCCGTACGCCGGGTCCGGCTCCGAATCTACCACGGCCGAGACCGCCCCCTCGAGGGAGGAGAGGGTGCCATCCACCGTCGGTGGTGGCGGCACCGAGATCCCCCTCGGCGGCGTTCCCGAGGGCACCGCCGAAGGGGAACACGGCCCAGAGGCGGAGGCCGAGGTAGAACGCGGCCTAGAAGCCGAGGTGGGGCGCGGCCCGGGGGCCGAGGCGAGTCACAGCCTAGAGGCCGAGGTGGGGCGCAAGCCCGAGCCCGAGGCCGAGGCTGAATCGGCCCGGGGGCCCGAGGCGAAGGGCGATGACAGCAATCGTACCCCTCTGCACCTGGGGCGCCCTTGGGTCCAACCACGTGAAAGGGGGCCCGAGTGCAGCCCCCACTCTCGCGGGGGGTCCAGCCGTACTCCATCGTCCCGGGGACGGACCACGCCCTTCTCTTCCCCGACTCCCGCAAGCATGGAGCCGCTCCTACGGGTGCTCGTCGCCGCCGACTCCACTGTCCGGGAGGAGCTCAACTCCCAAGTCCAAGCCCTGGCGGACGAGCGAGCGGCCCTAGAGGCAGAGTGGACGTAGGTCGCGGCGGACCGCGCGCGGGTGGATGAGGGGCGCTGCACCGTGGACGACCTGGTGGAGACAGGGCGCAAAATGCACCAGGCCCAGCTGACGGAGATCCAGGCACGCGAGGAGACGCTGGACTCCATCATGCGGGAGACGGAGGAGGAGCGGCAGGCGGCGCTCATCGCCTCGAGCGTCCTAGACGAGGCGCTAGGCAACATCCGCCTGCAGTATGAGGCCCATGCGGACGACCTGGTGCAGAGGGTTGAGGACGCCAGCGGGGTCCTTGATGCGGCCGCGGCCTAGGAGCGGTGGGCATCGGAGGTCGACGCCTCGCTGTGAGGCCGAGCGTAAAGCCTTAGACGAGCGCACCCGCTCCGCACAGGAGTTCGAGGCCATGATTCGCCGGCGGATCGAGGTCCTCGACTACAACAAACGCAAGCAGGAGGGGCGCGATTGGGCACAAGCGCAGCGGGCCTAGGATCTGGAGGAGTGGGCCCTAGTGCTCGAGGAGCGGGCACGCGCGTTGGACCAGCGCGAGACCACTTTGGCCGCCCACGAGGCGACGGCAGCCGAGGCCGAATCCGCCCTTCGCCTCCGTGAAGAGGTCGCCGCCGAGCGCACCCGAACCACCACGGCCGCCGAGGCCGTAGTGGCCCATCGCGCGGAGGAACTGTGGCTTCGAGAGGAGGCGTGGCAGGAGCGGGACGCCGCGCTCACGAACGCAGGGCCGAGGTCAACCGCCACGAGGTGGCGGCACGCCGGCTAGGCGACCAGCTCACCAAGCGTGAGGAGGCCGTCGCCGGGCACAAGGCCCACCACCTAGAAGGCGCCCGGGCCAAACACGCGGCGATGGCGGCACGGGCGTCCGAGCTGGAGGCTAGGGAGAAGGAACTGGCGTCGCGCGGGCAGCCTGGCGATTAGGCCAGCCAGCTTGCCACGGCCCAAGACACCCTCGCCGATCTGGGGCGCTTGGTGCAGGACCAGGCTGGAGAGATCGCGGCCCTCCATCTTGCCAACGACATCGGGCCCGGCCAGCTCCACGACGCCATCGAACGGCTGGAACGTGCGGGGCGCCGGGTGGGCATCTCCATGCGCCGGGACAAGAAGCTCCCCTCCACGAGGCCGGTGCTCGCATGATGGTTGGACGAGATGGTGGTGGACCTGGAGAAGCTGGAGAAGGAGGTCGTCGAGGCCGTGAAGTCGTCATCGGCTTCCTTGGCGCGGGCTGCGGTGGAGCTTATCCTCGCGAGCCACCAGGCCCGTGACCCCGACATCCTTCCCTGGCGCGCACTCGAAGATTTCCCCCCGGGGATTGAGGCGACGGCCCGGGAGCACGTTCGAGACCTCTCGCTCTCTCGGGTCGTCCGCCATAGCCTCTCGCTCTCCCGCGGTGGCCTCGGGGCCTTACTTGGGATTGGTGGCTTTGGGCGTTGGGCCGCTAGGGAACGAGGGGCTGTCGCTGGTTAAGTGGGCCCCTGGTTCCCTCCCATGTCCGGGCTTGTGACTTGGCATCCGCGGGTCATGTTCATCGCGTTCCACTACGAGGGCGGCGCTCACCACATGGGGGGTCGCAACCAAGTAGAGTAGCAGCGGCTCCTCTGGAACTGGGGCCACCAGGGTCGAAGGGGAGGTGAGGTAGGCCTTCAACTGGTTGAGGGCTTGCTAAGCCTCCTCCGTCCACACAAATGGCCCTGAGTGCTTGAGGAGCTTGAATAGGGGTAGCGCCCTCTCTCCTAGCCTCGATATAAATCTACTTAGGGCGGCCATACGTCCCGTGACACACTGCACATCCCTAAGCTTACTGAGGGCGCATCCTCTTTATCGCGCGTATCTTCTCGGGATTAGCTTCTATGCCTCATGACGAGACTAGAAAACCGAGAAGCTTGCCCGCCGGCACATCGAACACACACTTTTCGGGGTTCAGTTTCATGCGCGTGGACCTAAGGCTATCGAAAGTCTCAGCTAAGTCCGTCAACAATGTTTCTTGGTGGTGGCGCGTCTTTACCACCAAGTCATCGACATAAGCCTCAACATTACACCCTATTTGATTACTCAAAGTAATGCGAGTCATGCGTTGAAAAGTAGGGCCTGCATCCTTTAAACCAAAAGGCATAATTGTATAACAAAAGGTGTCTACAGGAGTAATGAAAGCAATTTTTTCCTCATCTTCCCCTAGCCATGCAAATATGATGGCATCCTGAATAAGCATCTAGGAAACACAAAAGGTCGTACCCCGCAGCGGAGTTAACTATCTGATCTATGCGTGGTAAAGGGAAGGGATCCTTAGGGCATGCCTTATTGAGGTCCGTGTAGTCAATGCACATCCGGAGCTTGCCGTTGGCCTTTGGAACGACCACCGGGTTTGCTAGCCACTCTGGGTGGATGACCTCTCGGATGAAGCCGGTCTCCAGGAGCCGCGTCACCTCCTCACAGATGAAGCCTTGCCGCTCCGGGGCCTGGCGCCGTACCTTCTACCGGATGGGTCGGGTTTCCGGCCGCACGGCGAGGCGGTGCTCGATCACCTCCCTGAGGACCCTGGGCATTTCCGACGGCTTCCAAGCGAAGACGTCGGAGTTCGCCCGCAGGAAGGAGACGAGCACGCTTTCCTATTTGGCGTCCAAGTTGCCGCCAATCTTGGCGGTCTTGGACAGATCATCGCCAAGGGGCTCCTTGACGGGCACCTTATCGCCCGAGGTGATGCGCTTCTTGGAGGCGTGGGATGCGGAGGCCTTCGGGAATCCGCCGGCCTCCACTGGCTCGGTGGCCGCCGCCAAGCTGTCAGCACACTGCTCCGCACAAGCCAAGGCGATCTTGACATCGCCAGAGATGGTGATTGGGCCATTGGGGCCCGGCATCTTCATCTGAAGGTAGGCGTAGTGGGTGGCGGCCATGAACTTCACAACCGCGGGCCTTCCCAGGACCACATTATAGGGCAAATTCAGATTCGCCACATCAAAGTCAATCCGCTCAATGCGGAAGTTGTTGGAGTCGCCGAAGGTGACTGGGAGCTCGATGTGGCCCAAAGGCCACGTGTGCCCTGGTGTCACCGCAATGATTGGCAGCGACGGCTGAAGCCTCATCCCCGAGGCCTTGAGGGCATGGAAGGCCACCGGGGAGATGATGCTGAGGCTAGCCCCCCCGTCGACCGAGACGCGCTTCATCTTGACGTTGTGGATGGTCGGGGAGACCATGAGGACCAGCTTCCCTCCACGGGTGAGCACCGTCGGGTGGTCGCTCTGGTCGAAAGTGAGCTTCACCTCCGACCCGCCTCGTGGGTTGGGATGGCGGCCAGAAGCTCACGCCTCATGGCCTTGAAACTTCGACGGGAGGCATGAGCACAAGCCCCCCCCCGGTCGAGTGTGGCGACAGTCCCCTGAGGTACCTGGAACTCCAAGTTCTCGCTGTTGTCATCGTCATCGGCGGGGGCCTTTTTCTTGGCCTCCTCTCGCTGGTCGCCAGCGGAGGTCGCGGGGCCTTGCCCTCCCGGCGACTCTGCTGCCTCTCCTCATTGGTCTTCCTGTACCGCTCGGCCAAGTTCTTGACCGTGCGGCAGTCAGCAAGGCTGTGCCGATAAGTGTTGTGCACCGAGCACCACTTATCCGCTGACCGGCTTTCGCCGGGGGGAGTGGTGATGCTTGGCTTGTCGCTAGTGACCTTCTCCTTGCATGGGGTCCGAGAAGGACCGTCTGCGGCAAGGACATGGCCCTCGTCGTTGGAGCGGGCCGGCTTCCTCTTTCTCCTCTTATCCCACCGCTTGGAGTGGGAAGAGGGCTCGGGGGTAGCCACTGCCGCCGCACCATAGCCAGAGGAGTTCCAAGCCCACGCCTCTTCCTTCCGAGCCACCTTGTCCGCCAGCTCGAAGAGCTAGGCGGTGGTCTTGGGCTCCTTGGAGGTGATCTTCTCGAGCATGCGATTGTGCCGCACGTCGCTGCGGAATGCATAAACGGCCGTATGGGCCGGTATGCAGGGGATGGTGTTGTGGACCTAGCAGAAACGCTGTATGTACGAGCGAAGGGACTCGTCGTCCTTTCGCTGCACAGCGTGCAGGTCCGCCTCCACTCCTGGGCAGGGATATGTGCCCTGGAAGTTCGTGATGAACCGCTAGCACAGTCCTCCCAGGAGTGGATAGAGTCAGGGGGCTGGGTCATGAGCCAGCCGCGCACCTGACCCTTAGGGGCCATGGGAAAATAATTCGCCATGACTCGGTCATCACCTCCCGCCACCACGATGATTGTGGTGTAGATCTGGAGGAACTCAAAGGGGTTGATGCTGCCGTCATACTTCTCGGTGAGGTTGGGACGGAACTTCGGGGGCCACCGGACATTCCGGAGACTCGCCACGACGGCCTTGCACCCGGCCCCACCGGGAATGGACGTGGGGGGCGAGCCACCTCGCGCGGAGGGGCGCGACACTCCAGATGAGGAGGCGCCTTCCCCTATGCGGGCAGCATGGCACTCGTCCCTGCGGCGCTCGATTTTGATTCGAGCGTCCTACTCCCCGTAGAGGTCATCATGATGCCTCCGGCTTTCCGAGGGCCACGACGACGTTGGGCTGTCGACCGCTTCGATGTCAAGGCCGATCGACGGGCCCTCCTTCTTGCGGACAAGGAGAGGGTAGTGGGGGTACGCGAGGTACCAGTAGTCACGGGCCCGCCATCGGTGGCCAGCTGTCGCTGAGCGGCGGTGACCAGGTTGGCCACGTCATCCAACCATCGCTGAATAGGAGTCTCCGGCTCTAGGTTGACAGGGGGGGTGCCGCAGAAGAGCCCCCACCGCCTGAAGTGCGCCCTGGGGCGAACCTTCGTCGCCGTAGGTTAGGCGGCGCCGCACCCTGGCGCGGTGTGGCCTCCCCCCACCAGGTGGCGGGGAGAGGGCCGAGCCCCCAGACCGATTGGGGTCCTCCTGCCGTCGGGGGCTATGGCGCGGAGGAGTTGGAGAATTCTGGTGATGGTGTCGAGGATCGCTACTCCCACTTGCATCCTCACTCCCGGAAGAATGGGTGTGCGTACCACCACCTCATGTTCCACCACCTCAACCATGGTCACTGAGGATGGAGAGAAACTTAGGGCGGAAGAAAACGACTTCCTTCTCAAGCGCGCGGATTTCCTCCTACCTAGCGCGCCAGCTGTCGAGGAGAGATCCCCTCTAGCGGGTGGTCGTGAGACCCCCCCCTTTGTGAGTTCGGTCGGGGGAGATGGCGCGATGATCAAGACCCTACTTCCGCTTGGCGCTTAACTACTAAAACGCTCTCGTGGCTGTGTGGGAGACCAAGGATTATACAGGTTTGGGCCGCTATCGAGCGTAATACCCTACTCCTGTGTGTGGGATTATGGTGAATTTTGACAAGAGGTTTTTAGCTCTAAGGGAAACCTAGCTGTTCTTTCTCCGAGCTCAAGTTGTCTGAGAGTCGTCCCCTTTCTTGGTGGGCGAGGTACTCCTTTTATAGTTCAAGGGGATACCACATGCACCGTTTGCACCTACTCCTCCACAGGAGGGGGCCCACATGGCCCTAATCAGATCGCTATCCTTTGCTTCAACCGGAAGCAACACGGTTGCCCGGCTTCAGGAGGGGCCCAGCGCCGTCCCCCGCCTGACACGGGGGACATCCCCGTCATTCCCCATTAATTGTATGGGGACTTCGGCGGCTCACCACGCCCGGGGGGTGCCCCTGGCAGTGTGCCGATGGGATGGGGCATACCTGCCCTCACTCCGCCTGACATAGGGCGGAACGTGGGGGCACTGCCACCCGTCCCATCGCTTGTGACCGATCACAGACCGAGCGGCGCCGCACGTCCTCCCACACCACATTAAATGCGGCGCGGGACGGTTGTGGCACCGCGCATTGAAGGCATGGAGCAGCGTTTCTCGCCCCGCCCGCTCTCCCCGCCATGTGGTGGCCGGGCGAAGGCCTCAGGGTAGCACGCCCCGAAGGCCTGAGGGGTGTGACGTGGCACCCCGAGGTCGCCCTTGCCACCTCAGCGCTACCCGAGGGGCGGGGGGAGATGAGGCCGCGTGGCCACGCGACTTAGATGAGAAGGATACTTCCCTTTGCTGTGCGTACCCCCGGGCCCATTTCACCGACAACTATGTATAGATCAAATGTTGCAGTGAATTGAAATATCCTTTCGCTATTTGCTGAAACATTGTTTTTATATATAGTGAAACATCACCTGATTTTTTGGAAACCTTTTGTTTCATACGTTGTAGCAAAATGTTCCATGAGGTGATTTGGTTGTGTTTCAGCTTTTTAAATGATTGAAACAATTTCGATCTACTTGATGTAACAATGCCCGATTTTTGCAAATAATAATAATAATAATATCGAGCGTCCGATTTGTAGGTGCCTCGTATTTACAGTAGTGATATTTTTATTATCTAATAAGTTCTTGCGATTTATATATCCGTTTTGAGAGCGACTAGAGTACGGGATCCCGTCACAAGGACGAGATATTTTAATGAACCCCCTACCCCTTTCTTTTCTCCAGTTACGAGAAATCCCATGCGTGAGAAAACGAGTAAAGCAGGAGGACACCTACCCACCCTCGTGCACGCATGGTGATGATGCTAGCAGGAAGCAACGGTGCTAGCACCAGCGGCTAGACGCCAAGAGGGCGCACGGACGTAGCTACAGCAGGACGGCAACAACAACAAGGAAGAGATAGTGGAATCGAGGAAAGAAAAGAAAGGAATAAGAGAACAAGAGGTGTTGGCGATAGACCCTCGCCAGCCGACTAAGCAGTGGCACATGTTCCTTTTCGGTGTCTTGATACTAGGTACGTCCGTACGTGGGGTATCATACATGATATCCATAGGTACCAAATCTGATCTCTTGGTACTATGATACCTGGTACTTATTAGGTAGGTATCATACTTGATACCTATGGTACCAGACATGATACCTGTGGTATCAGACCAGATACTTGATACCTGTGATACCATGGCTCACAACTGATACCTTATGATACCTATGGTACCAGACCTGATACCTATGGTATCAGACCAAATACTTGATACTTGTGATACCATGGCTCACAACTGATACCTTATGAGACCTATGGTACCAGACCTGCTACCTGTGGTATCAGACCGGATGCTTGATACCTGTGATACCATGGCTCACAACTGATACCTTATGGGAGTCTTCTTCGATGGTCTTCTTTCTTGTTTGTTTCCCTTGCTGCCTTAGTACCTGGACTTGATGGGCGTCACCTTGCTGCGAGCTTGGGACAAAAGAGGACACAAGAGCGTTGCCGCTCACTGCCCTCGTCCCCAATGTGCGCTCAGACCGGATCTAGCGATAGGATGACCTAGGCCTCTAGATCCAGCATTGGCAGCTTTGCTCAGCCACCACCATGACTGCCCACAAATCAGCTTGTTGCGCTGACGCCACACCTCCACAAGAACAATACTCTTGGCGAACGAGAGAAAGGGGAGTGCGACAGTGGTGTTGGTTGGAGGCGAGGGAGAGGAGGGAAGTATCATCAGCATCAGCTCCGATGGAGGCCTTATCGGCTACGCCGCTATCAATTCAGTCTGTACCACCTGAGCTCGTCCTCATCTCTAGCAGATGGCGTCAGGAGATGAGTGGTTGAGGGAGGAGTGGCAACATGAGATAAGACTTTATTAATTAACTGACATCCTTATCCTTTACCTCGAACGGTATCCAGTGTGCTAGTTTTTCTGATCCGTTTTTACCCAAGACCCACTCTATTTTTTATTCTCCCACTGCCTTCCTCCTTTTTCCCAACCCCTCTCCCTCGTTTTCCACGCACACGCTTTTCAAACTGCTAAACGGCGCATTTTTTGTAAAAAGTTTCTATACGAAAGTTGTTTAAAAAAATCAAATTAATCCATTTTTAAAAAGAAAAATAGCTAATACTTAATTAATCACGCGCTAATGGACCGTTCCGTTTTCCGTGCGGAAGGATCCGGTTTGGATCCAGGAATAGCGAACACACCCTTAAGTTTATCCCGTAGCTCGAACGGTATCCAGTGTGCTAGTTTTTCTGATCCGTTTTTACTCAAGGAGAGCAGCTACACAACGGGATCCCGTTGCTACGGGATACTTTAAATGACTCCTCCCCTTTCCTTTCATCTGTATAGGTGAGATTCCATGTGTGCTCCCCCTGATACGTACCAGAGGCACGATACCTATCCGGTTCCAACTCGGTATCACGCGCGCGATACCTCGTCGCCGGTGTCGCTCCTCTGCAGCCGGACCAGTATAGCACAGGCTGGTACCTAATACCTGATACCTGGTACACCTAGTACCTGATACCTAGTATCTGGTACCTGGTACCTGATACCTGATACCTGATACCAGTGTATGGTACCTGTGGTACCTGGTACCTGTAAAATTATGGGATTCAAGAGGATAGGACAGGGGAATTGATACTATCCATATAAGCCGGAGAAAAAATCAGCAAGGAAATCATCAAGAAAAAAAAGAAAAACACACATGAGTAAGGGATGCAAAGCGGCTGTGAAGCACTGCCGACATGGGGGGCACCTAATACCTGATACCTGGTACACCTAGTACCTGATACCTAGTATCTGGTACCTGGTACCTGATACCTGATACCTGATACCTGATACCTGATACCAGTGTATGGTACCTGTGGTACCTGGTACCTGTAAAATTATGGGATTCAAGAGGATAGGACAGGGGAATTGATACTATCCATATAAGCCGAAGAAAAAATCAGCAAGGAAATCATCAAGAAAAAAAGAGAAAAACACACATGAGTAAGGGATGCAAAGCGGCTGTGAAGCACTGCCGACATGGGGGGCGGAGAAATCAGTCGGAGTAGAATGGAGTGTGAGGGGTACCTGCAGGTATCGAAGGAAGGGATGCAAAGTAGCGGCGCAGCGCTGGTGGCGTGAGGAGGCGGATGGACGGAGGGAAGCAGTGGTGGGTGAAACACTGCTGCGTGAGGGTAGAGGGACGAAGGAGCTCGCGGTCCTCGTCGGCAGGGGTGCGACGACGCAAGAGCTCGCATGCTGCTTCGCCGCCGCTCCGCACGTTCCTGAGCCGGCGGGAGCAACTCCGCGCGGCGCCGTCTTCCCCATCGCCGGTGGAGGAGGGAGAGCAAGACGCCAGCGAAGCACCGCCACGCGTAAGCGACGACGAGGACGGCGGAAGCCGGCGGAGATTCACCGCCGTGAGCGGCAACGACGCCGATGAAGTCGATAGAACGCCACTGTTTTTCCGAGAGTCACGGGTGGGTGGGGGAAAATGAAACAGGCACTGGACGCTTCTGTTCAGAAAAACGGTTTATACACTAATTAATCACGGTTAATCGCTATCGGTAATCGCAAGTTAAGTTCTCCCGTTGCAACTGAAAGCCGTGGAGTAGATTTTCTGTTACCCAAGACCCACTCTATTTTTTATTAGCCCACCGCCTTCCCTTTTTTTCCGGATCTGAGGTCTTGGCTCTTGGCGGCGGTAAGCTCGGGTAAGCTGGGGTCGACGGCGGCGAACTTCACCTACACGCTCCGCGCAGATTTAACATGCCATCATCCTCTGTACCATCGCGATGCCCCTGACGAGAAGGCAGCGATCGAGGAGGTGCGCCCCACGCTAGATCGGGAGAAAGAGGTGAGCCCGTCGTGGCCCATAGAGCACCTCCGTCGCACCACCCGTGCAGATCGGAGGATGGGACATCGTCCCTTGCTCTATGAGGTGGTGGAACTGGACCTGCTGATAGGCCTCCCCTATGGACTGAGCTTTAGCGCCGTTGATCACCATCTTCACCGGTCGGAGGAGGCCGAAGATGTAGCCGTCAGATCAGGCACGACACTGCCGATCTTCCTCGTGTGTTCCGTGGTTGTGTTGTAGAAGAGTAGCAGCCTGCTACGGCTGGTGGCGGTGTTGTTAATGGCCGGCACGTCTCAGCGTGGTAAGTTTGCATTTTGCTTTAGTCTGCATCTTGTTTATGTAGCAGAAACAAGAGCTCCGAGGCAAAGCAAGAGTGTGCTGTAGAAGCTTGGCACAATGCAGATGCCTTCCCTGTGCGTTAACGCTGCCGCCGGCGCCGGGTTTCCTACTCTGGCACCGTAAAGCCGTCCTCCCTCTTCCTGCTCCGCCGGTGGACGCCATGACTGTTTTGTTGTCGTCATTTTTAGCCAGCTGCCCGGAAGGCACTAGGACAGGAGACAGGAGGAGTTCCTTTGATATTTGATTGAACATTGGGGCTTCGATCCTTTGCAGTATGCTTGGTGAGATTGAATTTTTAGTTTATCACTTAATTGCAGGCTGCCAAAAACAGATTAACTAAGACTTAACTTTGTTGTTGGTACTATTCTCCCTTACCTGAGTATGAACTTTAGACCCGGTTTAGATCACACCCTAAAATTTTTCACCCTGTCACATCGAACGTTTGAATACATATATGAAGTATTAAATATAATTTTAGAAAAAAAACTAATTACACAGATGGGGACTAATTTGCGAGACGAATCTTTTAAGCCTAATTGCTCTATGATTTGACAATGTGGTGCTACTATTAGTGTCTGAACACCCCATGCAACACCCTACACAATATCCGATGTGACGCCAAAACTTTACTCCCCTAGATCTAAACTCTCCCTTAGTTTGTTATGGATGCTTGTTTCAGGATGTCGGCAGGCACTTCTGTTCAGTGTCCAAAATGCATATATACGATTATCATTAAGGCAGCGAAAGTGTACTGCGTCATAATTGGAATTCTACTACTGCAAGCATATAGCATTATGGATTTATGAAGCTGTGTCCCCGATACTTCTGAGATGTCCTGCTAACTGAGCCCGCCCCGAGCTTCACACGAGACTAGAGAATCGGCAAGTGGCGATGCCGTCGGCGTTTATGGGGTCGTGCTACAACAAACAACAATTATTCATAGTGACGAGGTCTAGTGAAGGTGTCAAATGCTCATTTGCCGATGTCCTAGTGCTCATATAGTCTGTAATCTTTCTCGCGGAGTCAGATGATTTTATTTGTGTGCAATTTTTTTTTCATGGATAGATTTTGATGTTTGAGATGTAACTACGTATGGTGATGGTAGAATATCTTTTTACTGCGATTTTTAGTTGGCATATAGGAATAAATTACTTCCTTCGTTTTATATATATGTTAATAGATATATATGTATCTAGATTTATTAACATCTATATTAATGTGGACAATACTAAAAAATCTTATAACCTTTTCTGACAAAGCTATCGAGACATTAGAGAGAGAATAAACCAATGAGTAAAGAAATTACTAGTGGTGAAAAAAAGGCCACGGGGGATTAGAGAGAGAACCGGTGAAGCAGGAAGTAATTTTTCGGTTTTGTTAAAATACTGTCACCATATTTTTGGCTTGTTTACAGTAGATCTCTAGATGATTTGATCTTCTCTAAGATTCATGCTGTGGCAAATTACAGGATATAAACCAAACAATGATGCAAGATGTTAGCAGCTATAAAAATATGGTGACAACTTTTTAGGTAAAAATACGTCAAATGAAATTTACACAGTAGTTACACACTACTTATATATGTAATTAGTATGTAATTTTGGGACTTACATCGTAAATACACTAAAATTATATATGTAATTTAGTGACTTACAATGTATAAATACATGCCGACTATTTTTTATTGAAAAATATAACGCCATAAATATAGCTACTCCCTAATCTTTTTACTCTACTATAAGTCTTTTTTTTCCCAATCTTATTGGTGAGTAATATTTTTACTTCAATCTATTCTGGCTTTTATTGTGCACATATCTGAGTCGGTCGAGAGCAAACAGGGGATTGAATCTTAGAAGGACAAAATAGTCTTATTGTGTTGCTTTTTTTTTACGTTAGTTCTATAAATATTTTTTCCTCTTAACTGCACCAAATCAAACGGCAATGGCGTATGGCATACGCCATATACATGCACTAATTTCAGTGGCAAATTTGCAATTGATGGTTTTATAATGGCTATTATAAATTAGAGGGTGAAAGTAGTGATATATTTATAATTCTTCCAATTTTAACTGAACAAATGTTCCACATACATGCGGATTTATTTGACGAGTAACTTTTCTACTCATGCTATACGAGGGCAGGTGGGTTGGTGGCCTCGTGGTGGGGGACTAGGGTTTTTGTCACTGTGTCGCGCCAAGAAGTTTTATCGCGCGCAGCGTGTTGTGTAACGGGACCCCTGACCCTCGACAAAAACGGAATTTCTCCCACATGCGCTCCGTGTCACACACGCGCTACCGCGCTTCGCGTGGGGCATCTTGCGTGGCCTGAGCCTTAGCCCAGGACAGCATGGACTCCCCCACACATCAGGACATCTGTCGTCTTTCCACCTCTGGACAACCGCCACGGCATTATCGATTGAAAAAAAGAGAAGCACGAAGAGGGGAGGAGGAAAAACAGCAACTTGGAGGAGAGGAAGCCGGAAGAACATATCCAAAAATCATAGAATTATCACATGTAACTACATATCAAGTTCATAAACTGTGTTTTGAGATTCATCCAAAAAACACATAACTTGTTTTAATAATGGAATATAATCCCGGCCTTTACTCAAATTTCTACAGCCAATTATTACACCAATTCAACAAAAACTCACACATGAATAAACAAAAGCACACACAAACTAATAAAAACTCCCACGGCATAACAAGATCACAAAAATTATTGAATTCTATTTATGAATCTCCATCCAAAGTTAGTGAACAACTGTATAACCATTGACTCCAGATTACGACATGCAGCTTTCACTGACTTGATTTCTTCGTCACACTTTAGTAGTTGAGGCTAAGACCAGAGCCAATATATTGCCCTGAAAAGAACCTGCGTATACGACATCGATGGTGATTTGTTAAAAACCATATCATTTCTATACAACCATATAGCCCAACATATAGCGGATGCTCCAGCAAGGATAAGTTTGGTATATTCTTTATCACCCCCCACAAGCCAATTCTCAAAATATGAGATATACTATGAGGAGTATATAAACCAGTAGTAAACTATAGAGCTCTCCAAAGAAATTTTGCATAGTGACACTCCACAAATAAATGTTGAATAGTCTCATTTCTCATGCAAAAACAACATTTCAAACTACCATGCTAATTTCTCCTAGCTAAATTGTTCTTTGTTAGAACAACCTTGAGAGGCATCTTAAGTTTCCAGATAATATTATTCCTCTCAATGTAGCCATTATTAATTAAAGCTAAGTATATAGACCGAACCGAGAATACACCATTTTGATGAAAATTGCATATAAAAATATCATTCTCCTCAGTCAAATAAATATGCACAATTGAAGCACATAAATTATGCCAATTGTTTAAATTATGTCCTACTAAAGCTCTCCTAAAAGAAACATTTAGTAGAACACAAGACATAACATTTGCAATTGAAGAATTCCTCCTACGAACTATAGCATATAACGACGGGTACCCATCCTTAAGAGAATAGTTCCCTGCCTATTTATTCTCCCAAAATCTCACTTGTACACCATTATTCACAATTCAGGAACCCATATTTAGAAACTTGCTCTGAACTTTCATAAGACCCGACCAAAAATGGGAATCCCCTTGTTTCTTCTCAACTTGACTTAAGGATTGATTATAAAGATATTTCATTTTCATAGATCCTACCACACGCCCTACTCATTTATAAGCCTAAACAACCATTTACTCAAAAGACATTGATTTTGAATTTTAAGATTATGAACTCCAAGAGTACCTTTGATCTTTGGGTTAAGCCTATACTTATTCTTGTGCTCATCTCCTTGCCAAAAGAAACGTGATCTATAATTAATTTTTTGAAGAACTCATTTTGGAATCTCAAAAAAAAATCATAAACATGGCTAAACTAGAAAGCACAGAATTAATCAACACCAATTTTCCCCCAATTGACATATGCTTACCTTTCCAACTACTAAGTTTCTTTTCAATTCTTCCCTCGATTGTTTTCCTATCCTTGTTACTAAGTATTCTAAAATGCATAGGAATACCAAGATATCTCACGGAAAAATTCCCAAGCTTACAACAAAAAATATTAGAATAAAGCTCTTGACATTCCATTGACTAACCAAAACAAAATGATTCACTTTTATAAAAATTAATTTTAAGGCCAGATATTTTTTTCAAAAGTCAATAATAACAATTTTAGATTTTTGGCTTGTAGTAGATCATGTTCTAAAAAAAAAAGAAAATAAGAGTGCCATCTGCATATTGCAAAATAGAAAGACCATCATCCACCAAGTGTGGAATGATCCCGCTAATTTGACCATCATCCTTGACCCTCTTAATTATAATTAATATAGTAAGCATATCAACGACTATATTTAAAAGAATTGGAGATAATGGATTCCCTTGCCTAAGACCCTTATAACTTTGAAAATTAGAACCAACTTGACTGTTTACTTTTATACCAACATGTCCCCCCTGGATAAAAGAGGCAATCCACTGACACCATTTTAGCGAGAAACCCTTCGTCCTTAAGGTTTGTTGAACACAAGACCATTTTACCTTATCATAAGCTTTCTCACAGTCAATCTTAAGAATTACCCCACTCTTGTTTTTGCGATGAATTTCATGTATAATTTCATATAAAATAACAACTCTTTCCATAATATTTCTTCCAGGAATAAAAGCAGTTTGAGTAGGACTAATGACTTTTTGGGCAACCCCAATTATTATGTTTATAGCAACTTTAGTAAAAATTTTAAAACTAACATAAGTAAACAAATAGGCTATAAAATATAGTACCAAAGTTAACAGAATATAAACGTAAAGTTCCCCTATGAAAATATTTAAATAACTCCAACAAATCAAATTTAATGACATTCCAGAAAAACCTGATAAAACTTAGCTGGAAATCCATCAGGACTCGGAGCCTTATTATGTTCCATTTGGAAAACTATGTCTCTAATTTTCTTCTCACTAAATTCCTGAGTTAAAGCCTCATTTTCCATTTGAGAAATTTGAGGAATATCATTTGTTCTACTCTCATCTAATTGTAAGATAGAGTCCTCTAGTGGCCAAACAAACCTTTGTAATAAGTGGTAATATGCAATTTTAAATTCGCATCACCATTTATAGTTTGGTCACCATCTTGTAATACAAAGATTCTTGTTTTCCTTTGTTTGCCATTTGCAACCAAATGAAAGTATTTAGTACTAGAATCACCTTCTAAAATATCTTTAGTCTTAGCTCGCCGATACCACTTAATTTCTTCTTCTCTCAACAAACATGCTAGTCTATTTCTCCAAACATATCTAATATCAATCTCCCCCGGAGTTAATAAATCTGTTTCACCCTTTTTATCAAGCAAATCAAGATTATTTAATAACTATTTTTTCTCTTTTTTATAAACACCACTTGTATGTTTATCCCATCCCCTCGAATGTTTTCTTAATCTATGAAGTTTAGCCTGTCAACGCTTAGGAGTATTACCTTCATCTGTGGAGGACCATATTTCCTTAACCATGTCTACAAAACCATCCCATAGTAGCCAATCTAATTCAAACTTGAAAATGTGTTGTCCATTACATGGTGAAGAGGAGTTTGTAATTAAAAGTAAAGGAGTATGATAAGAAATATCTCTATTAAGAGCAACAACCGAGGATAGCGGGAAGTTATGTTCCCACTCCGTCGACATTAATACTCTATCTAATTTCTCATAAGTAGGGTTTGCTAAATTATTTGCGTAAGTAAAATTTCTTCCAGACAAAACAAGTTGTCTAAGACTCAACCATCCATAGTTGCTTTAAAGAGAAAAGGGCACATATCATCACAGTTATCATTATTTTTTTCATCATGACTGCGCAAAATATTAAAATCACCACCAATGAGAATTGGTAAAGCTTCATATCTGCACATATTCACTAATTCAAGAAGAAATTGTTCTTTAAATTCATTTTGCGTCAGACCATAAACCAACACCAAAGCCCATTTAAACTTATCCAATTTATTACATAAATGAAATTTAATATAAAAATCACCCTCATCAATTAAACCAATATCAAAAGTTCATAAATTAATTCCTAATAACATCCCTCCAGATCTATCCCTAGGAATGCCACAA